AACAATCGATGCTTCTTAAATATAGTATGTGAATTTTTCAATTCTGTCGGTCGAGCGGAAAATTCAGTCAATCATAATCCACCTTAGTTAGCTTTTCTTTCTAGCTATTCTCTTTTTTTTTAGTATTAAAAGACGGTCTGAGTCAAGTCGAGGGCAGCGATTAAACTTTTTTATTGCGTAGGAATGGCTTGGGAATTTATTAGAACTTGGAAACAACGCTAGTGAAATACATTTGTATTCCCTAATTTCACTTGTCAACGTTTGATTATACAAAAACAAATAATCCGTGGCGGACGGATGATACGTCACGGTATTAAACATCTTTAAGTGGAAATGGGACGGAACTCATAAATTTGGCAAATACTCCGTCATAATTGTTCCCGCCTCTGTTTCTCCGTCTATTAACACCGGATTTTGATAATCAGATAAATAGGAAAATCATTTGATAATCGTTGTTTTCACACTTAATAATTAAGACGGATAAGATTTTACAGGGTCTTAGTAGCCCAGAGCATGACATGACACGTCGCGCGTGCTCAAGCGGAAGGAAGGAAGGTAGGTTGTTCATAAAAGCATTGCTAAGTAATATCTGCTTCGTCTTCGGCGAATATAGATTCAAGGACGCGCTCAAGCGAAAGAAAGGAAGTTTGTTCATAAAACTTTGCTAAGTAATACTGATCTGCTTCGTCTTGGGCGAGTATGTATTCAAGGATGATTTTCAATAGCGTAAATACATTCAAAGTCGGCAGACTGCAAATTATAATTGTTGTTAAAAATATATATTTACGTGTCGTAACTGTTCATTAATGGGATGCCTAGAACTACGGAGGGAGAGTAAGATTTTAGGCCGGGAGGTGGATGTTTTGTTCGATTGTCGTATTTCATGTACGTGACATGTTATCGTCTCGCCTTATTTGAGACATTTATACCTTGTTTTAGACGGTTTTAGATTGTTTCCGAGTGGTTGTAGATTTTTTTGAGGTGGTTGTAGATGGTTGTAGGTGGTTGTTGAATTTTTTGAGGTGGTTGTAGGTGGTTGTAGATGGTTGTAGGTGGTTTTAGGTGGTTTTAGGTCGTTCAATGTTTTAGTAACTACGAGGAGGAGCCACCCACAATGTGAGCACAGTCACGGACAACACATATACTGTGAACAAAATAACGCAGTCTGCAAAGGGCACAGTTCTGACTCCTCGGGGATTTACTCTCTTCAGATTCACGACAATTAACCTTTGATTTAGGGAATGATGTTTCAATATTACAACAAATCTTTGGACCTCACACTATGAATCGAGGAAGGATTATTTTTAAGGCAGCTCCAAGACTGAACCATCAGTCACGCTTATTATCAGGGTTCATTCTCTACTGAATTATGCTGTGCCCAATTTAATAAAGCGAGAATTCTCTTGCTTAGCCACCATTCAATATAATCTTGAAAATATGCACCCCGGGATGGCGGGGTTGTAAGATTACATGTAAAGGAGGACTATTTTTTTACCTCACCTAAGCGGCTTACCTCACCTACCTGGGGTCCCCCACTTTCATGTAAACAGGCCCTTAAAGTTCTTTACAAAGTCTTAAGGCGTTGTTCATGTTTACGCTTCAGTTACGCAACCCTTTAAATGTTCGTATAATTATGTTCCCACGACAAGTTACGCTTTTTTTACGGACGTAGAAAATGTACGTAAATAGTAATTTCGTGCTGTGTAGTGTCGGCGTGCTAGAGAGCAAATACATGCAGAAGCAGGGCACACTGACAAGGGAAAAGGATAAATACCAATAAATATAATTTTCCTGCTGTACAGTCATTCCCCGGACTTTAAAGCTATATTTAAAGGGATTTAATTGGCTGGCAGGACAGTTTAAAATGATTTTCACGTAACTTATCATAAGTTGTGAGTCATAATTAAATAAACTCAACGCCCTTGGTAAATTAGTAAAGCAACGGCTGGTCAGGCGGTTGGTTGTGATTCCTCGACCAAACGTCGCGCCAGCCCCCGCGCTGTAGCAGCAAATTACCAGCATGTTTGAAATTGTTTTGTGATGATGATGCGAAATAACTGAGGATGTCACTTCTGCTTCTTAACATCTAAAACAGTAGCGACATCAGTTAAGACTGACGTTAGCGGCATAAACGGCTTCCTTTTGTACCACCTTGACTTGTTCTACACTTTCATTATATCTAGAAAAAAAAAATAAAGCAAAATAAATAGTTTTCTGAGAATTATTTCCCTCTCCTGACAGTTTTTATCCGTTAACTTTCTGATTTAAGAAATCGTCAACTTGAATCTGACGTTTACAGTTTGCCCTAAAAGTGAATCTAAATCGTCTTTCTATCAACAAATCATATTTATTCCGGTCAATCGGTTTCTGGCCACTGGACAGGCCTTTGATAACCCACTTGAAAATGGAAGGGCCTGTCTTCAAAATGACACGTTCACCAACTTAATTGTTTGCGACTTTTTTGTTTTAGCCGGTAAAAAAAAAAATTTAAAAACCTTCGACGAGCCAAACTGTCAGCCGGCGGCAATAAATTAAGCAGCGTATTTGAAATTGTTTTGTAATGATAATAAACTGGGGATGCCTCCTTTCTATGCCTAACTTATTATCAATATCTGTTAGTTAACATGTCTGCAATAACCTCCTCTAATCGCTTCTGACCGCAGGTATGTCGCCGTTTAAGAGGCTTAAGTTATTTGAAAGAAATTGATTGACGGTAACACACGTACACCTGATCCCATTTTCACTGGACCTTTTTCAATTCTGTTCAAAATATTCCTTTGCAAATCAGTGGATTAAAAAAAAATATGTATAAAAACGTTCGATGCGCCAAACTGTCAGCAGCGGCAATAAATTAAGCAGCGTATTTGACATTGTCTTGTTATGATTATATAAACTGGGGATCGATGCCTCCTTTCTATGCCTAACTTATTATCAATATCTATTAGTTAACATGTCAGTAATAACTTCCTCTAATCGCTTCTGACCACAAGTATGTCGCCGTTTAAGACGCTTAAGTTATTTGAAAGAAATTGATTGACCGTAACACACGTACACCTGATCCCATTTTCACTGGACCGTTTTCAATTCTGTTCAAAATATTACTTTGTAAATCAGTGGATTAAACAAGAAATTTTAACGCATACTGAGAATTTAAAGTTACTTAAGTTCATACAATTTAATACATCAACTGATTTATTTCCCAGTATGATATTTTCATATTATATATATAGGAGTCTATATGAGTCTATTCCAAATTGGGTATTATTTTTCATTTCAATTAAAGCGCGTTTTTTTAACGTAACTGCTTTTTTTATAACCACTCTTAGTAGTCTGTTAGAAAATTCTCGTGTGTGATACATACTTGGTTGATAAATGTCAATATCCGTAAATAACCTATGTTTGTTAAAAAGCACTCTACTAAACAAAAATAAACAAAATACGAGCTGAAAGTTTGCAAAGGAGCTTATAATTTGACGATGCTAATTCCCTCAGTTAAAGGCACTACAATTTTCTTTCACAATGGCGACTGAAAAATTGATACAATTTCTGGCATTTTTTCAGGCTAAGTTTATTCGTACAAAATAAAAGTTAACCGACTTTTCGCTCTTAACAAACTAGCTGCGGTTTTGCTTTGCAACGTAGGATGATGAAACGCTTCGGGAACACATCTTAATTATCCGAACTAACCTATAAGTTGTAGCCATGAAATGTGCTAACAGCAGTAGTATCCTTATTTAACCCGGCCGGTGAAATTTGTCGATTTATTTATTGTATTTCCTTCCTGCATCAAGTATAATCGATTTTTCCTGAAACTATTGTAACTAGTTATCTTATCGTGCTTAGATCATTGCATCACTGCCTATCACAGCCTGGCAAAATTTGATTTAATTGACAGTCCACCCTTCACTCAGTCTTCCCATGAGGGCGGACGCCGAGTCTTTAAAGAGACACTTAGTAACGGTCTACCAACCACATACTAACACTGCATTATAATTTTATCTTATCCCAACTCTCGATTTTATCCAACAAACCTAACTGAAACTACTTCGGCTGAATTAAGAGACGTTCTTTTAATTTCTTCGTTATAGACTGAAGCTACAGACAGCCTGAAGCGACGTAAGACATATTAATTGTTCAAATTGCAATGGTCCTTGCAAAAGTCGGTATTGGTTTATCATATGTCTTCCAGCTGGCTCTCTGTAAAGGAAGGACCTCACCCGACTAATAACCGCTTTTATCTATGCGAATTTCGCAATGTTTTCTTTAATCACCATTGTGTTTTAATTTGTCATTTAACAGTTGCACAGTGCTGAATTTACGGGGGCTGTTGTCTCCATCGAGTTCCGGATAAAAATTAATGAAGTTAGGCGTACTGTCCCTAGCTTTAAGTTGCTTAAAGGCTCCAAAGTTTATGATATACTATTCCGCAAATCGTCTACGATACAGTTGTTTTGCGATTTTTATAAACTACAGTCACTGTGTTTTCAAGCCAAAAAGGCGTCTATACCCAGTGCACTTCTTTACGTGGACTTTTTGTGTACAAAAAAGGAAATCTTTGAAGCGTATAGATTGGAAATTTTGAGGTTATGGGAACAACAAAAGACGAGTTTTCAGAGGGTCGAAAAAGAGCGGAAATCTGCCTTCTTTTCCCATAAATTCTTTAAGTATTCCTCACAGCTAAGAAAAAGTACGGTAACAGTATAAATAAAGGGCGATAACTTTCAAAGAGTTAAGGTGATAGATTGGTTCGGTTTAAAACAGCTAACATTTCCCCAAGCGAGATAGTTATGGCGGACGTGAAAACTCTTTTCGCAGTGAGTAGATTATTTTAATGCTACTTGTTTCTGTTGATTATGAACCTTTACAGACTTTTCCTTTGTAACTAAAAAACTGAGTTTCACATTAAAAAAAGGATGAAATTTTAGTAGTTAAACGAACAGGCGGTAGAATTTGTTTATCATAATCTTACAACAATAATATTAACATGATCTTTTTTTCTGCAGGTTATTCTTGCATTTCTGTTTGCTTTCGAAGTAAACACCCTAGGTCTGGTCTTTAAAGGTTCTTGCCCCAACGGGATTGGCCGTTATTTGGAGATAATAAAATGTAATGGAACGTCGTGTTCTGCAGGAATCTCCGGACGAAGCTGTAATCCCTCAAAAACAAGTAGGTTGCTTTTTATACCCCGTGTTTTTTCTCTCAGTTTTTAAGTTACTTCAAAATTTGTGAGCAATGAATCGAAAAAAAAAAGGTGTGATCATTAAATATAGTGCAGTGTAGTCGAATTTTTTTGTGATATTTGTATGTACTGCTGTTAAATGACCAATGTTTCTGACACCCACATTTTTATAAAAGCGGCGGTAATCCGTTTTTCGGCTTTCTAAAGAGAGTCTGAAATGTTATACATCTCTTCACATCATCCCTAAATGGGCGGCAGGGCGAGAGAATAAGAAGAGAAGAATAAGAATGACAAGTAGAAAGTAAACAGATCTAATTTGTAGATACTTTAGATAACCTTATCTACAAACGTTCAAAAGAATGGTATAAACTTCGAAGGTATCCTAGCTTCTTGCATGATACAACTTGATCATAGCGGCACAAAAATAGACTTAGTTGCGAGTTTATAGATGTCAGTGAGCCGGACATTGCTTATTGTACTAAGAAAATGTTTGCCATTTTGCGCTTTTTTCATCTCCATTCAGTTTTTGTAGGTCAGTTCACCTTGTTGGAGACATACATTGTTAGGCGACCGGTCGGTCAAATATCATTCCCTCACCAAACTGAAATAACTCCGTGTTTGAGTGTGCATCTTGGTTGACCGTGATCGAAGCTTTTGGCATAATAAAAAGTGTGATGCACAGGCGAATATGACGTAATTCAAAATGGGACCGAAGAGCTAGACGAAGGACAAAAAAAGTTGCTGGAAAGTTCACTTCTGAGTACCCAATTAGCCCGACCAAGTACCATAATATCACCAAGATTAGGATTTGTGTTGGCATAAGCAGTATATATATATATATATATATATATATATATTTTTTTTTTTTTAAAGCTATTACTAACTTGAAAAATGAATAATTTCTATTCTTTGATTTCTATTTTTCCAGGTTTCAATATTATAAACGCTCCTGCTACTGGAGGAACGACTCGGAAGTGTATTCAATTTACTAATAATAGTGTTAGTTACGCCCTGAAAGTCATTGGAACTAATCCTCCTACTCTACAGTTCATGGTGAGTGCACAGTCCATTCATGCATGGGAGCTTAAACTCAGCATACGGCCGGAATTTTATTCGAAAGTGGACTCAGATCTGTAACAGTTAACATTAAGTGGACTAACGTTTACGCAGCAGTGTGTAATCAAAGGGTGGGCGAGAATTCAAAGGAATTTTTCACTTTTATTTATTTATTTCTATTGTGGGTCTATAGACTAAAAAGTATAATTCTAATTCTGCCAGAGATCGTCCTCGTACTATCCAGAAATCGGGGGGGAAGGGGTACTGCCATATATGGGCTATATAGGTTTGTGTCGCTGTGAAGGGCATGGTTTTCAAGCAGTTTACTGTATGATAGGGTATATAAATCAGAGCGTTTGGGTCTAGAATAGGGTATCATTTTTCAGGAAACTGATCAGTTAGTTGAAGATTTTGCCTAGACAAGGGAAACAGCTACTCTAGGATAGGTGGACTTTGGGGAGTTTACTCTAGTATAGGGAAGCAAATTTCAGCTGAGCTAGCTCTGGTATACTACTCCCCCCAAGGTCTGCTCTGCTGCACAGCCGTTATAAGCATGTCGGGCCCATGTCGCCACGCAACGCACCTCGGTTGGAGCGAGGAGCGTTGCGTGCCTAAGGCTCGAAATATGAGCATCGGCGATCATCGGCATTGTTGCGTAACATTCAAAATATAAGGATTTGTATGGGAAAAAAACCTATCGTTCCTGTAACCTATGAAAATGAAAGGATGTCAATAAAAAACAGCTTACCATACTTAAAATGTGTGTTACGTCTCTCCTGTGAGGTCCACGGGCCATGGGTTTTTATGTTAACGGTTTTCTGATATAAAGGAGAAAACCGTTAACATATAAAACCCAGAAAACGGCCATAGAATAAATTTTTCGAAATCCTTTCATTTTCGTAGGTTACAGAAACGATAGGTTTTTTTCCCATACAAATCCTTATATTTTGAATGTTACGCAACAATGCCGATGCTCGCCGATGCTCATATATCGAGCTTGGGTGACAACAACCACACAAAAGTAGTCTAAGGGGCCGTCGACATATTCACTTTTCCTCCGCTTAGCGGGTGGTGGGGGCGAGGGGGGGAGGGATTAGAGCAGTGGACGTCAGTGTGGGACATTTTAGGACAAAAGGAAACAGATGCATTTTCATAAATTTTACGTCATCTGTCGAACGGCGCTCGTGACATTATTTAAGAAGGACCAATTAAAGAAGTGAATGTCAATTGTGATCTTTAAAACTCTCCTCTTAACTACTAGCAAATTGTACGTTTTACTTTGTGATCTTTAAAACTCTATCCTAAAGTATGAAGTTTCTACCACGTTTTAAAAGCAGTAAATCGAGTGTTGATACCATTGACATCTCTTGCATCTTCTTATGGATGTCGGTATTCCTTCTGGAATGCAGTGACTTTTGGGCAGCAAAATATCGAAAGATTGTTTTTGATTAGCTGGGAAAACAATAGGGATTGTCACATAACAACGTCCCTATCCCTGAAAACAATGGAGGTGCAGATTAAAGGGGACCAGTGAAATAAGAGGTTTAAAACGGTGCAGGTCTACTGAAAATTTAAAGTGGACATTAACGAGGAGGGGGGGGGGAATGGGGGGGATCTGACCTAAACGTCCAGTTGACGTTAAGCGGAGAAAAAGTGAATATGTTGACGGCCCCTAACTGGAAGAGGATAATCGAAGTCTCTTTAGTGACATATAAACTATCCTTTAAATTTGCAGAAACAGCCACAATGTGATCAAACGACCAAGGTCGACAATGCGTATCTGTTCGAGGAGCAGCAGATATCAAGTGGCTCAGTCTATATGGCCTATATCTATACACACAATAATACACGAATGTGCCTGTCCCGTGTCTGTAAAGACACAGCACTAACTCTTAAAACAATTAAAGTCGGTCCGCAAGGCGAACTAGATAGGATGTGTTCTTTTAGACGTAAAAAATGTTAACAAAAATCATGAAAAATTGTTTTCTATTTTATATTTTTTTCTCACTTACATATGTTGTATTGTAATGGAACATTCCAAGCGTTGAAAATGATGTTTGAGTTGTAATATGGGTAATGTCATTATCAGAAGTACAATATACACAGAATAAAGATATCTCAGAGCATAAAAAATAATCAACCTACAATCAATACAAAATTATAAAGTTGAGTATAAATTTAGCAAGTCATCCTCTGACAAAATCCACGCTGTGGATTCCAGCTCAGGATAACAAGCAAGTAGTTGCCCAGGGCAAAAATGTGAGAAAATGTGCAAGAGTGAATATTTGAGAAAATATGTAGACTGCGAGCAGTCTCTCTTTCTTCTTCAGGGCCTCAGCTTCTGAAAGGCCGATTAAAATTTTTTTCCACTTTTTGTATTTACCTCTGTAACCAGGAGGCCATAACCCGGAGAGGGCAATTCTCATGTTTTCGTGTCACGGCGTTTTCACTGACCAGTTTATTTTAAGAACGATCTTTGCGCGAATTAAGAATATCTTTCATGTCCCACAAACCAGTCATTAAACTAAAACCGCTAGAGATGGCATTTTTGACCTTTTAATGGCGGTTGATTTCCTTTGTCGCTCTTTATATTTACAGTATAATCGATTATGAAAGGAACGGAGCTTTCATTTTCGCGATAAAACGTGCTGTAAAATGCATCTAAAAATAGTCCAGTCTGTGAAAACGCCGTGACATAGGCCTAGTATGAAAGTTGCACGCTTCGGTCTATGGTCTCCTATGTAAGCCAGTGTAAACGCCCAACAGTCAGTTTTGTAAACTTGAGTCAAATGTTCTTAGACAAGAAAACCGTGATTAAAATTTGGCTTAATCTTGGATTAATCTTAACCATCTTTCGAGGAAACTGGGCCTAGAGATTTAGTGAGGGGAGCGCAAGCGCGTGGTCATTTTCGTGTCTCGCGCGTTTCGCTCAACGGACTAAGAAAGAAAAGTTGCTCGTAGTCTAGAAAATGAGCAAAATCTGAGAGCCCCTTGCCCAAAGGATGTGCTGGAATTTAATTAGAGACCTTTAGATTTGAGGACGAGAACGAGAACAAGTTGCGCATGTACTTGAAAAAAAGAAACCTTGGAAAGCTTCCTTTCTCTCTCTTTCTCTCTCTCTCTCTCTCTTTTTTTTTTTGTTTCCACCAATTAAGTTAGCACGGTTATTTATACTGAAGGAGAATAAGCCCTCTCCCGATAGCAAAATGTTAAAACTTCTTACATTTGATAGCTTGTTCCCGTCATTACGACATTCTCGCTAAACCTCGTATGGAGGCTAGCAAGTTTTACCGCCAAAATGACGCTGGTTTACGCGTGAGCAATAATCTGAGAAAATCTCGTACTTGTAGTCGTCACCGTCTCAGAATCTAAAGCTCTTTATTGTTTGTAAGCCCGGAAATAAGAAAACCTGGGACCAGGCTCCGCAGTGGGGGAAAAACTTGGTCAAATAGGAAAAATATCGGAGAGCGAAGCCAGCCGAGCGGTGGCCTGGGGAGGGTGACGGGCGGCCACTACCCTTTCCCTCCTCCCCCGCAGATGTTCTTTAGGTTCAACGCGCGTTCCTGTCCCGTGGGACCTCTGCATAGAAACAGTTTTTTCAAGACTAACCTTTCCCCTCTCCAGACTACCCCTCTGCTATTTTTATTATTATTTTTTTTTTTGCCATGTCCACGCCGTTTTTTTTTCTCCTTTTTCCCCGATGCGGAGGCTGGTCCCTGCCAAAAAATAAGAACGATTTAAGAATAAATGTGAGGCTGTTGAGATTTTGAAAAGGATACATTTTTTGGGTTTAAAACCTGTATTTTACACACTACATGTACACTGATAAGTTTTTAACTTAACTGGACTCGGATTACCCGTTGACTTAATAAACTTACAAATGGAAGCAAATTCGGAAAAGACGTCTGCCTATTAAAAACACAGAACGGGATTTTCTTTGGGCAAAAAATCCTTTATATTTCATATCCTTCAGTTTATCCGGCTATTAACAGCACGGGTTTTGATAGTAAATCGACCTCAAATTAAGAAGGACAGATATGGTGTCTAAAGTGAAAACGGTCAGTGTTACGGATTATCTAGCCGAAGAACGAGGAGAAACGGCTGTTTTCGTGGGCCACTATAGGGATTATCGCGGTAAAACCACAAGTTAACCAGAGCATGACATAAAACTTTTCACCTTATTAAGCGGAAGTGGAGGAAGATGTTTACATCACCAACATGTATGTACTTAAAAAATTAAACACTGGGTGACTAGCTGTTTGTCATTGGCGATATAATATTGATAAAGCTTGACACCTTGAAAGGAAAGCACTTGAGGCAGTTAATCATAAGAAAACCCTTTCACTCCAAGGCGAAATTTTTAGGTATGTGCCGCCACAAAGAGTAGGATTTTGTGCGCCGTTTTGGTCTGAAAACGGTGTAGACTTTGCCCATTTTGGTCTGGAATCGGGTTTTTGAGGGAATACGGGAGTGTATGAACGTATTTTTCGTTTCAATTCCAAATGAGTAAGAAAGAGAAATAAGCGAATTGGAAATGAAATTTAAGAAATCTCTTTTGTTGCTGTTCTAACCTAAGCAATGATGACATAATTCCTTAGATGCCAGGTCTGAAAACGGGCATGGGATTTCAGGGATTTTAAAGGCCAGGTCTGAAAACGGGTGTGAAAAAGACACTATACTTACATGGACTGAAACAGGGTCAGGATTTGGAGAACCGGGCGATAGACCCGCACCAAGGATTCCACCAAGGATTCCCAGGAGAAGCCCCCAGGGTTTAACCTCAAAGGTAACCGCTCAAAGTTGTTCTTCTTGTATTGCAAACTGTATTCGCCGTAGGTTTCTGATTACTCAGATTTTTTGCAGTAAAACTTTGGGCAAGAATACCCTTGCAGACAGGAGATAGTCCGCCGGCACTCTTCCTCTATTTGGGCGTCAACTTTCACCTTAAAATGCGTTGCATTTGTCAATTTAACCTTAAAATGCGTTGCAATTTAAGGTTAAATTTGACCAGCATTGTTTGTAGTGATTTCTACGTACGGTCACGATTGTCTTCAAACTTGCACATATCAAACAAGAGAGCTCTGAGGCTTATTTGCTGAATTTAGAGAAATCTGTCGTAGGGTTTCGAAGTTATTGGTATTTATGCCCCTTGCTTGCTTGCCAATAAACCATGTGCTGTACAATGTGCATTGCTAGGGGTGAGCTCGGTTTGCTGGTAGAACTGAACGGACACCCTTATTTGCCGTAATTTGGCCACTCAGTTAAGTGGCCGTTTATTGATAATACCAAATCAAATTACACAAAAACCGGAAATAAAAACCTCATCCCAGCAAAGGTGAGGGCAAGCACGCCAAAGCCCTGATCGACCCCTGGAGACAGGGCCGCCCCACCCGAAGCCCAAGCAATGCACAGTGCCTGAACAAGAAATACTGTAAAACAACTTAAACTTGCAAGTACACACTCCTAGTGCTCGCTGGTGGGCATGAGAAAGTGGAAGCTAGTATTCAACGACATGTTAATACTAATGAAAAATATTGTCATGCTTGTGGAACAGTTGGCCCATGCACAACCGCCCCTCAAGCAGGTAATCCTAGAGTGAAATGACAAACTGAACTGAAATAATTTCATTACCTCGAATAGCTTAAAGGCGGGAGAAGCAGACCCTGAGGGGAAACATTTGGCCCTTGCACAAATGTCCCCAAACCGGCACTACCTAATAAACCTCTCCTAAAAGGTCAGACTGCTGGCCCCTGCTCAGCCGCCGCCCCTAGATTACACCTGCTTATGAATTATACATTCAAGGTATGCTCAAGAAAATTTGCCATTTTAGGAAACAGTTGGCCCCTGCACAAATGCTCCTAAGCTGGCCCTACCTAATCCTTTCAAGTTAAACAAAGACGATACACCGTGGAGCTCCACAAGAATAATGAACTACATTTGCTTAACCCACTGACCAAGTGGCCCATGCAAACATGGTTGGATAAAGCAATATAAGGGTGTCTACTATATGCAGTAGACGTAAGATATGTACATCTAAGATTTGGCTCAGACTCTAATACTCTGTATTCACTGTCAATGTTAAGACAAACATAACACAGATACAATTGGCCCCTGCACAACAGATCTGTGCCATGTTTGTTGTCTATACTAGTATACCACTGTAAGCATGGGCAAACGGCACTAAGTTACGCTTGGAAGGCTGACTGAGACCCCATTGTGGAGGTTCGATTATATCGCAAAAATGCATTTGATTTCCAGCGTCCAAAATCCCTGATCTGTACATTGCCTGAGTTAATTTTTTGCTATACAGAGATGATTTTGAGTGTTCGCAGGCCAAAATGATATTTTCGAGTATGGGTAATGAAATGGGCAACCGAGTATCTCTTGAAGGGTTCATTTTACTGTAACCCCGCAATGCAAGTTTGATCATTTCCGACTTAGTGGGATCAGGCACAGAAGCTAAACGATGGGGGAAACTTAGTGCAGAAATGTAACTAGAGACGGTGGAGGCTGCATAGTTTTTCTCAGCTAAAAAGGCAATAAACAAGGCTAAAGTATGTGCTGAAAGGGGAAACAGCTGAATTTGGAGCCCTAGGCGATCCCTAATAAATTTTTGCAACATCTGCCAGGGGCGACGGTACACTGTTAAAGATGTTGTGCCCAGACTAACTTCTAATAGCTTGGCTAGCCTATCTCCCAGTTCTCTGGTAGAAGGTATGATGGCAGCGGGGTTGGTGTGGGGTCCATGCCCTGCGACACTGTGCGGAATTTGTCGACCTGTAAGCGAGATAAACTATCAGCCAACACATTCTTAACTCCTTTAATATGACGCGCCCTAAAGAAGATATTGTTTCTCAAGCAAATCAGAACCATTGTACGCAACAATGCTAACATCTTAGTGTCCTTCGT